CTGGCGGTCAGTTTCAGCAGCGGCTGAATCTGGACGCCAGTTCCGACTTACATACAGATTCAACTTAAGAACAAACCTACAGTCCCTATCTTGTACGTAACCCGGGGACTGCCTGTAGTGGATTTTGAAAGAGGGGCTGTGGGTAGAGAGGAAAGTTGCATAATAAATGGAAGCACAAGGGATTGAAGATAAGTGAAGAATGAGGATATAAAGACAGCAAGGAGACTTATAGGCCCTTGCAATCCCCAATTCTATATGAGAGTAGTGGGACAAGAGATGGAATTAGGGACTGAATTTTGTATAATTTTGAAGCCAGTAATAAGAAGTTGGGCTGTGATGCAGAAAGGATTGAGAGCATGGTGGGAAGGGCTATGTGATTGGAGCAAAAGATTATTTTGATGGCATTACTTTGGATTGGTTGGAAGGCTGAAGGTGAAAGAATTTGGAATGGTCTAGGTGGAAGTTTGCCACCGTTATGTCTGAGAGGAGAGATGAAGAGCATGTAGTTAGAGGTAAAATCATCAGAATATCAACAGTTAGCTGACACAAAATGATGGTATTTTCTATCATGATGGAGAACAGAGATGACTTAGAGTAAGGCCTGCAGCTGAATCAAACTAATATTACTAGTCAGATAATATGTGGATGACTAAAGATGTCACATTTCTTTTAGTATGACAGCTGGCAGTAAGAAAAACACAACTAACTATTAGGAACTGTTAATTTAGACCTGACCTCAAACTTTATAAAATCATAAAATACTAGAACTGGAAGGGACCTCAAGGTCATCAGGTACAGTCCTCTGCCCTCACAACAGGACCAAGCACCATTTAGTTCGTCCATGACAGTTGTCTGTCTAACCTGCTTTTAAATATCTCTAATGATGGAGATTCCATAACCTCCATAGGCAATTTACTTAGTGCTTAGCCATTCTGACAGTTAGGAATTTTTGCCTAATGTCCAACCTAAACCTACCTTGCTGCAATTTAAGCCCATCAGAGGTAAAGCAGAATAATTTTTCTCCCTCCTCCTTGTAACACCCTTTTAGGTACTTGAAGCTGATATTATGTCCTCTCTCACTCTTCTCTTTCCTAAACTAAACAAACCCAGTTCTTTCAGTATTCCCTCATAGGTCATGTTTTCTAGACCTTTAATTTTGTTTTTGTTGCTCTTCTCTGGATCTTATACAAGTACTCTGCATCTTTCCAGAAATGGTGTCCAGAACTGGACACAATATTGCAGATGAGGCCTAATCAGGACAGAGTAGAGTTGAAGGATTGTTTCTTGTGTCTTGCTTTCAACAGTCCTGTTGGTACATTCCAGAAAGGTATTTGCCTTTATTGCGCAAAAAAAAAAAGTCACACTATTAGCTCATATTTCGCTTTTGGTCCACTATAACCCCTAGATCACTTTCTGTCCTACTCCTTCCTAGGGATGTAAAAGTGTAGTCGATTAACCAATAAGCAAAAGCTTATAGGTTAATGCTATAGACTACATGCATTTATCTCCCCCCACTTGCCAGTAAATTTTTTTAGCAGGCTGGCTAGCAACCTGGCTCAGGTCCTGGCTTGCGACGGGTCTGGGACCTACTCCTGCTGCAGTTCTGCATTTAAAGTGTATTAGGAGCTGGGCGGGCACAGACCAGCTTAGTTCCTGCCCTGTGCCGCTGCAGCAGCACAGGGCGACAGGCAGCTGATCCAAAAGGATAGCTGGCTTTTAAACTGGCTCCCTTCACGGATCAGCTGCTACTTGGTACCTCACGCTGCTGTTTCTTATACAGAGGCTGCAGGGCAGAGTGGCAAGGGTTTCCTTGGGAGTGAAGCTCAAGCACACTGGCTGCTGGCCTCGGCCCCTGGGGACTATAGAATAGTCGACTAACTGATAAGAATTCACAAGGTTACTCAGCTATTCAATTAACCGATATTTAACATCCCTACTCCTTCCTAGAGGGTCACTGCCCATTCTGTATGTATGAAACTGATTGCTCCTCCCTAAGTGGAGTACTTTGCCTTTGTTCTTATTGAGCTTCATCCTGTTTACCTCAGACCACTTCTCCAGTTTATCCAGATCTTTTTAAATTATGACCATGTCCCCCAAAGCACTCAGAACCCCTCCTAGCTTGGTATCTTCTGCAAATTTATGGCATTCTTTCCATGCCATTATCTAAATCACTGTTGAAGATACTGAACAGAACCAGTCCCAAAACTGATCCCTGCAGAACCCAACTTGTTATGCCTTTCCAGCATGACTGTGAACCATTAATAATGACTTTCTGAGAACAATTATCCCACCAGTTATGCACCCACCTTATAGTAGCCCCATCTATGTTGTATTTCTTTAGTTTTAATAATAAGGTCATGTGAGACTCTATATGAAATGCTTTACTAAAGTCTAGGTATCTACCGCTTGCCCCTTATTCACAGGGCTTGTTATCCTATCAAAGAAAGCTATCAGGTTGGTTTGACGTGTTTTGTTCTTTAGCTGGCTGTTACCTATCACCTTATTGTCTTCCAGATGTTCACAGATGGTTTCCTTAATTATTTGCTACATTATCTTTCCTAGTCCAGAAGTTAAGCTGACTGGTCTGTAGTTTCCTGGGTTTTATTTCCCTTTTTCTAGATAGACACTATATTTGTCCTTTTCCAGTTGTCTGGAATCTTTTCCATCTTCCATGATTTTTCATAAATGACAGCTAGTGGCTCAGATACCACCTCAGTCCAGCTCCTGGAGTATTCTAAGATGCATTTCATCAGGCCCTGATGACTTGAAGACATCTAAATAATTTCTAAATAATTTTTAACTTTGTTCTTTCCTTCACTGGCATTCACTGTTAGGCGTCCAATTGCCACCAACCTTCTTGGTGAAAACCAACAAAGAAGTTGTTGAGCATCTCTGCCATTTCCTGTAGTTGCTTTTATCTCTTCATTGAGCAGTGAGCCTACTCTGTCCTTGGGTCTTCCTCGTATCTTTAATATATTTTTAGAATTTTGTTTTGTTACTCTTTAAGTCTCTAGCTAGATTGAGCTCATTTTATGCCTTCATCTTTTTAATTTTGCCCCTACATACTGTGTTGTTTGTTTATATTCTTCCTTGATTTCACTTTTTATAGAACTCCTTTTTTGATTTTTAGATCATTTAAGATCTCCTGGTAAAGCGAGGGTGGTCTCTTGCCAGACTTCCTATCTTTTCTACATAGTGAAATGGTGTGCTCTTGTGCCCTTAATAATGTCCCTTTGTAAATCTGAACTGTCTTCAGTTGTTTTTCCTCTTAGTCTTGTTTCATCTGGGACCTTGCCTACCAGGAGATCCACCTCTCTTCTGGGAACTCTAAAAGGAGCAAAATGTATTGTAACTACATATGCATTAAATCACTCACATTTTATAATAAGTAGGAAATACTTGCCTATGGGTTTTCCTTTTATATGTTTTATGTCATTGTCTCTCATTTGTTTAAACTATTTACTCACTGTCTGAAATAACCTCTGGAAATTATCATTCAGTTGCATTTACAATACATAAACATTAAACAGAAAAAATTAGCATGCTACGTTGGATGGTTTTCCACAGAGAGCATTACATGGAAATCAGAGCAGTGCCACGGGTGAAGAGGTTCACAGGGAGTTACTCGTCACTCACTTGAGCTATGCCTAGACTACAGAGTTTTTTTTCAAAAAGTGTCCTTTTTTCAAAAAAACTTCACCTGCATTTAGACTGCCGCCACATTCTTTTGAAATTAAATCGAAAGAATGCAGCAGTTTTTTTGACAGTGGTAAACCTCATTTTATGAGGAAGAACGCCTCTTTTGAAAAGAGCTCTTTCGAAAAAAGACGTTCTTGACTGCAAACCGGGCTTTTTCAAAAGAGAGCATCCAGATTGCCTGGGCGTTCTCTTTCAAAAAAGCCAATTGCTTTTTCAAAAAGTTGTGGCTGTCTAGATGATCTCTTTTGAAAGAAGCTTTTTTAAAGCTTCTTTCGAAAAAGCTTCTTTCGAAAGAAGCGTGTAATCTAGACATACCCTTGCAGACCTGCATTAGAGGAGCATGGCTGCTGTACTGTAGACATGGCTTATGCAGCAAGTCTAACAACTTCCCTATAAGAAAATGAGAATAACCGGTGAGGAACGATCAAGAGGACAGTTAAAGTAGTCCGTAAACTTAAGAGTTTTATCTTCAAAATAACATTAATGATCTCTCTCTATTTTCAGGTGAAAGTTGGTGACACACTGGATCTCATAGTAGGGGAGGATAAAGAAACAGAAACTGCTGTAGTTATGCGAGTTGTCTTTAAAAAAGCCTCAGAAAAGACTGAAAGTGAAAAGTATAAAGTGGTCTTGCGGCGCTGGAAAAACTTAAAAGTGCCCAAGCAGGATGTATTTAAGTGACAAGATTTGTGTATGGCAGCATGAGTCTTCTTGTGGAAAACCCTTTAATTGGTTGCTAAATCTCAATTTTGGTTAAAATTCTTGCACCCTTTTTAAGGGTTTGTGATAGAATGTTACCTCCTTATCATATGCACCACTTCATATCTTGTGATAAATCTGTCCATTTACTCTGTCCTATTTGTTTTTATTTTGTGGTAATATATGAAAAACTTTATTTCCAGACCATTTCCCTAAAGAAGATACATAATGGTTGGATAAGACTAGATCAACCTCTAACTGCTAGACATTTGTCTCTGTTAATCCGAATGACTTCGTGGAAACTAAGGCCAGTCTCATAACAAGTGGAAGAATGTTTCTGGCTGTGAGGTTTTACTTACAATTGAGGCTACTATTTAGTCACAGGTATTTTTAGTAAAAGTCATGGTTAGGTCATGGGCAGTAAACAAAAATTCACAAGTCATAATCTCCACGAAATTACTAAATACTCCTGATTAAAACTGAGGGATAAAGAGGGGCAGCTCATGGGAGCAGCACGTGCTTGGAGGGAAGGATTTTGTGGGGCCAGGCCAAGCTCCCTACCTGGTTCCCAGGAAGCAGCAACCCCAGCTCCTAGTTCCATGAGCTGTCTGGTTCTGCAGCTCCCATTGGCTGGGACCTGCAGCCAGTGGAAGCTGTGGGAGTGGTGCCTGCAGGTGGAGGCAGTACATGGAGTTAGATGTTGAGCCCCCAGAAAAACCCTGCACCCCAGACTCCACCTCCCAAACTTCTGCTGCTGGGGAGTGGGGGTTGAGGGAGCCCAAGACTGCCCCAGCACCAGCCAGTGCACCTGGGCAGCCCCCAGGCATTTCAGAAGTCATTGAAAGTCATGAAATCTGTGACTTTAGTGACAAACAAGGAGCCTCACTTAAGTTTTCTAACCTAGTACAGCTGTTATTTCGAAATAACTTTACCAGCATCTGCACAGCCAAACCACTATTTCGAAATTAAATCGAAATAGCAGAGGGCTTATTTTGAAATTTGTAAACCTCATTCTACAAGGAATAATGCCAATTTCGAAAGTGCTATTTCAAAATAAGTGCTGTGTAGACGTTTATTTCAAAATAGGGGACCTCCAGTCCTTCCCAGGGTGCCCTGCTAGCCACTCAGGCCCCAACCAAGAAAACTCCTCTCCTCCCCCCCACGCCCCGGAGCCCTTAAAGGGATAAACACTAGCCACCGTGCTTATGCCAGCTCCAAGCCTGCTGGTCCAGAACCAGCAGTCACTGCACCTGAGCCAGTGGCTGAAGCATGAGCCAGGCAGCCAATGCCAGCCAGCCCTCCACTGCTCTCCAGGACCAGTCTGCCAGCTCCTAGGAGCCTGCCTGGTCCAATGGGGAGATCACGGACCTAATTCAGGTTTGGAGTTCTCCAATGTCCATGATCTCTGCACTAAACGGAGGAACGTAACCGTCTACAGGCGGGGGGCTGCCAGTCTGGCCACCAAAGGCAACATGAAACCCAGAAGCAGGTATGCATGAAAATAAAGGAGCTGTGGACCACATCCTGGGGGGCAGGATAGTCCATACTCCCCAGATGGTCATTAACACTGGGGCAGAGGTTGCTGCCTCCTGCTGCTCCAGCCCCTGCTACCTCCCCAGCTACCGCTCCTCCTTTCAATCCTCCCCTTCCCGTTTCTTCCTCCCCACACCCCCAGGGACACCACAGCCCCTGTACCTGTGGTGCTGAGAGAGAGTTGGGCCAGCAAGACCCCCCCCCTAGTCCATACTCCCCAGATGGTCATTAACACTGGGGCAGAGGTTGCTGCCTCCTGCTGCTCCAGCCCCTGCTACCTCCCCAGCTACCGCTCCTCCTTTCAATCCTCCCCTTCCCGTTTCTTCCTCCCCACACCCCCAGGGACACCACAGCCCCTGTACCTGTGGTGCTGAGAGAGAGTTGGGCCAGCAAGACCCCCCCCCC